GTTCAGCTTTCACACCTGAAGAATCTGTGACTGAAGACTAGAAGCTGATGAAAAATTGTAGAATTATCATTAATATGATAGTAACTGGAGTTGAGTTTTCAAATGAGTCTGTGTTTTCAGTTTTAACTACACATCTTGGCCTTGGAAAGCTTTGGCTTTATGAGTGCCAAAACCATTGTCCCAAGATCAGCTAACATAGTGAGCTGATTTTTCCATCAGTCTTTTAAACAAGATGGAAGTTAATGAATATAATTTTATAGATGGATCATTACACAGGTTGAGTTTTGGTTTACTAATACAATACAGATATTGTTGCTGTTAAGTGATGTTGAGTTGGTTCTGACCCATAGCAACACTGTATAGGGTTTCCATGGAGCAATTGGTGAGCTTGAACTGGCATCTTTGTGGTTCAAATCAACTTTGCAGTCCAGCGCATTAGCCCACACACCAGGATTCCAAAATCCAGATGTTGCTGTCAGGTGCCATCGAGTTGGTACCTACTTGTAGCGACCATATTCACAACAGAATGAAATACTGCCCGCTCCTGGGCCAACCTCACAATTGTTGCCACACTTGAACCCATTGATGCTGCCACTTGGCTAATCCATTTCGCTGGAGGTCTTCCTATTTTTCTTGACCCTCCACCTTACCAAACATGTTATCCTTCTCCAGTGACAGGTCCCTCCTGACAATACATTCAAAGTATGAGAGATGAAGTTTGGCCATCCTGGCCTCCAAGGAGAACTCTGGATGCACTTCTTCCAAGACAGAGCTGTTTGTTCTTTTGGCAGCCCATGGCACTTTCAATATTCTCCTCCAACACCATAACTCAAATGCATCAATTCTTATATGGTCTTGCTTATTCACTGTCCAACTTTTGCATGTATATGAGGCTATTGAAAATACCATGGCTTGGGCTAGGCGCACCTTAGTCCTCAAGCTGACATCTTTGCTCTTCAACACTTTAAATAAGTCTTGAGCAGCAGATTTGCCTAATGCAATACATTGTTCGATTTAAAAAAAAAAAAGTTTTATTGTGAATTATGTGATAGTTTACATGGGTGAACATTAGTTATA